TATAGATCCTACTCGCCACCTACAACAGCGGCCCAGTGGCTATGTGCACCAACAGGCCCCAACCTATGGACATGGACTGACCACTCAAAGGTACCCAAAGTTTTGGGAGCTTGGAAGAGACAATAAAGTATAAGAGGGCACTTCACTTGGGGAAATCTGTGCCTGGAGGTGATGGGACAAATCACAACTTTTGGAGATACCGAGAATGCTGATCTGGCTACATATCCAATAACCATACAGTGCTGGAGCTGGATGGGATATGGAGATCAATAGTTACACACCTACTTCCCAACATTTCTTTGAGGCCCAAAGAGGGAAAATCATATATACAACTATGATATGAAAGTAACTGGAATTCATAGATGTACTACATGATAAGGAGGCATAAATCTAGCATTAGAATAGTTTAACACTGGAATGGACTAACAAGTTCTCTCACTATGATTAATGTTTGTCAGGGCTTAGTTAAGACATTGTAATCATTCTAGACTCTGCAGCTTATAATTTAAATGACTGAGGGATGGGCCAGAAGAAAAATCCTTTACTTACAAGTATCAATTAACTGCCCACTGTGTGGCCAGCACTCTGATAGAAATGGGTAGAGTGAGAAAAGATAGCAAGAAGTGAAATATATAGTTCCTTACCACAAAGAGTATTTAATGTAGTTGAGATGAAGCTTCCATGAAAGAGCATTTAGAGAGCAGCATGAGGAAGTATATAATCAGGTGTGCAGTTGTGTGCTGTGGAATAAAAGGAGAATTCAGAAAAAGTATGGGATAATATGCATGGGCCTGAGTCATAGGAGAAAATTTCAAGAAGGAGGTCTGGCTTGAGTTGGCCTTTGAAAGATAGGTAGGATTTGGATTTATGGAGAGGAGACAGAGGAAGAGCATTTCCAGCAGAAGACGTAGCATGAACAAAGACATGGGTGTAGGAATGTTTATGGTGGCTGGGAGGACAGGAAAGAAAAGAGCGTGGATGGACTATAAAAGTTGTGCCAGGGAAGTAGTTGGGAATAGGATGGGTATGTTGTTGTTATATGCTGTCGAGTCGGACCCGACTTACAGTGCCCCTTCCTTGGGTTTCCGAGGTAGTATCGCTACGGAAGTAGATTGCCCCATCTTCCTTCCGAGGAGTGGCTGGTGGGTTTGAACCGCCAGCCTTCTGGTTAGCAGTCAAGTGCCTTAGGCACTACACTACCAGAGCTCCCAGGATGGGTATGGGCAGGTTGATAGAGGGCCTTGAATGTCAGGTATAGAACTGAAACACAATCCGGTAAAGGTTCTTTTGATCAGGAAAGTGAAAGGATGAGTTAGGTGTGTTGGAAGGATTAATATGGAAACAATGGATAGGATGCATAGAGGAAGGTGGGAGAAGACTTGGGAGAGGGAGGTGAGCTAATGGACTGTTAGAGTAATGTATTGATTGGGGTAGAGAGGAAATTAGTTGCAGAATGGAAATGTAAGACCCTGAAATGTTATTGGGGAATGGAAAAAAAGAAAAAAACTCAGTGAATGTTTATAGAATGCCTATTATGTGCTAAGATTGTTTTTCATTTTCATAAGAGAAAAATAGCTAAAATAGAAGCAGGAAAGATTCCTAATCATTAAAGCTATGAGATACTAAAATGGAGTATTTTATTTGCCCTGTATTCATCCTAGAAGTCTGTCAGAACCCCAGAGGGCTCTCCTGGTTGGTGATAAGAGGAGTGGATGAAATGACATGTAATATCTTGTGGGTCAAGGACCCAGGAATTATACTCTTCTAAACTCCTACCTCCGATGCTTTGACCTCTGTACCTCTTGTCGTCTTCGCAGATTTTCACACCAAACACTGCAACAAACACCCATGATAGGTACCATGACTGCACTGAGTGCTCAGGGAGTCCAAGCAGGTGTCCGATCAACTTCCATCTTGCCTGAGCAGCAACAGCAGCAGCAGCAGCAGCAACAGCAGCAACAACAGCAGCAGCAGCAGTACCATATCCGGCAACAGCAGCAGCAGCAGATCCTGCGGGTAAGGCACTAGGATTTCATCTAGGATCTGAGACCTCAAGGAGGAGAAGCACAGTTTCTTCTCAGGTTGTTATTAAGACTAAATGAGGCAGTGTACATGAAATACTCAGTAGAGTGTCTGGCATATAGTGTGTGTTTGATAACGTAGTTCACTACCCTCCCCCCTTTTGTTTTCTGGGTATCATAGTGGGAGGGATTTGAAAGTTTCCTGTTGGGTACTTCTTTCTGTACAACTGTCTGAGAAGGGAAGACAATGGACCGAGGGTTCCTTTCTTGCTTCTTTATCTTCTTTCCCCAATCCTCCAACACTGAATCTCTGCTCCCTTACTGTCCCTTCAGAAGTATGTCTTATGTTCTCATAGCAGCAGCAACAGCAGCAGCAGCAGCAGCAGCAGCAGCAGCAGCAGCAGCAGCAGCAACAACAGCAGCAGCAACAGCAGCAACAGCAACAGCAACAACAACAACACCAGCAGCAGCAACAGACAGCTCCTCCCCAGCCCCAGCCCCAGTCCCAGCCCCAGGTAGCTGCTGGACTACAGCCCCAGGCTCAGGGACAGCTGCCCAGGTTGGGCATGCAGCCAATGAACTGGGATGGGGACAGGGTGGAATTGGATAGAGGTGGGAGGCAAGGCAAGAAACTCTGAAAAGGCATTGAGAGATGAAGATGGAGAAGCAGGTGGAAGGTTAGAGTTCAATCTCCAACTTCCTGTTTCTACCTCAGTTCCAACGCCAGGGCCTTCAGCAAACCCAACAGCAGCAACAGACAGCAGCGTTGGTCCGGCAACTACAACAACAGCTCTCCAGTAAGCCTGCCTTCTTTCCCAAGGAGAGCCCCATGGGATAAATGGGAGATGGGGTGGGCAAAAGTGCTGAGATGATTGCTTCAGTCCCAAAGTGTGGAAGTCTTAACATTCCCTTCCCTTGGTACCTGACTAGTTTTCCTCATGCATATTCATACCCCTACTTGGTCTCCCACCCCTGATAATCTCTGGTTTTTCACAGATACCCAGCCACAGCCCAGTACCAACATATTTGGACGCTACTGAGCCACCTGGAGAAACTGCTTGTGCACTGGATATGGCCCTACCCTTTCCTCTTAATTCCCAATTCCCTTCCTGGGCTAGCACCAGTAGTGGTGGGGACCCTTCCCTCAGGCTCCATTTTTAATAAGTTTTAGTATTTTTGTTAATGTGAGGCATTGAGCTGTTGGGTTTTGTATATTATTTATATAGAGACCCCAGAGCTGTTGCGCCCAATACACAGAGCTTCTTTGCAAAGGGAGTGTGTGAGTTCTGCATGTCTGGGAAGGGTGAGGTGTTGGGGAAGTGCTGGGGGCTAGATTAACAAGTCAAATCCTTTATTCTGTTGAGATAACCTCCTCAGTTTACCTTCCACCCCCTTAATTTCTTAATTCTAATTGGATTGCTACTCCCTTCCCTTCTCCTACCTGGCAACACATTAAGGTATGGGCCCTTGGTCTCTTAAGAAGGGCAGCTTCCCTTCTCAACTAAATGTTACAGCTTCTTTACAGCTTTTCTCCATGGGGGATATACCACTGGGATTGGGGAGGGCTATTAGGCCAGAAGAAAATTAATGGAGCCTGATTCTCCCTCTACACACTCCATATTCTGGGCTTTAAACAAACTAAGGGGGAAGATAATAGACACTGCCTACCCTTTTTGCCACCTTGCGTTGTCCCCATCATACACCAGGCTGCATCCTTTTCATAGGACACAGAACTTCCCTGCAAGTCACATTTCTGGGATGAAAAAATGCTCTCCATTGGCAGGTGTCACCGTGGAATAGGTAGTGGAAGGATGGTATGGTTCTAGGAAGGGAAAAAGACCAGCAAAAGGAAGCGCCCTTCTCTCTCTGCCCTGTTGCTGGAATTGCTTGTTTTCACATGACCCCCCTTGGCAGTTACCCAGGATAACTATTGCTCACCCTTATTTTACAATAGGGAAATTTCGAAACTATTGCTCCAGAGTCATATTTGGAACTGTGACCGGGCTATTCTCAGCCTCCTTGCCTTCAGGTTTTGGGCCCTAGATCCAAGGCTGTCAAGGAAAGCCAACTGGTTTAATGGAATCTTTTGGTTGGCTGTGTGGGTTGGTGGTGGTACAGGGTGATTTAACAGCTTAAGGATAATGTCCTGGTCATAGTTGCACCATATCATTGCCAAGTGTCAAGTGTGCTGGTAAAACCAAGAGCACAAATCAGTACTCAAATCATAAAGAATACAAAAAATTCCTCTAAGGTCCTCAAAGCCCTCACTCATATGGGACTATGCAAGTTTGACAGTTGTGTGTGCAAGTAATGGAACTCCTTAACAGGTAAGGCAAAAATGACTGAAGCTTGCTTCTGACCTGTTGTATCCTGATAGGTACATTCTGAGGAACTCAGGGGTAGAGGCTTAGCTAAGAGGCTTGGGGAGGAGGGAGGTGTTGGGCAAACTGGACAGGTGAACTACATACAGACATACAAGACACAAAGACAGCCAGATCTGGAGGGGAGAGACTAAAATGGTCAGATAACTGGCATGCTGGCAGTTGAAATCTGATGTGCCCCAGCAGAAGCAGCAGAAAGAAACAGCACTGACCTTTGGGGCAAAGTGGCTCCATTGGTTGCTGCTTGGGTAATGCTGTTCCAGAAGAGAGATGAGGGATGTTGAATGAAGTGGAGGTGTATATTTATGAAGTTTGAGTGGGAGATCCTGCAGGCACTGCCTCAGTTTCTCCCTTTGTTCCAGGGTCTTAACACTTTGCAGGTGAAGTTTAGACTAGCTGCCTTGGAAGATCACCTGTCTGATAGCCTGCTGTTTGAGGGGTATGTGTGTCTGAGAAAGCGAGTGAATGTGGGTGAAGGGAGTATGCTTGAACATGGGGGGTATTGGGCCATGCCCCAGGACTTGAGCCATCTCTGGCACAAAAGGAGTTAATGGCAGGGACCGCGCCCCCCCCCATGTCCGGGCACGCGCAGCGCGCCCCCTCGGTGCGCGGGCACAGCAGCCAGACTGCCGGAGAGCAGATCTCGGGGATTCGGGTGCGGAGCCCTTGGCCTGGAGGCGATATGGGTGGTCCTCAGCCGGGTTCAGTCGCTCGAAACAGCAACAGCCTGGGGAACAGGTGAGGCCGCCTGCCCCGGGGTCTCATCCTCTAGCAGCCGGTACCTTGCCCCATCCTATCTCCTCCTAAATCTAGGCTCCTCCACTCCCCAGCCAGTGCCCCCTATCTCTCTCAACCCCATATTCTCTATCAGCATTCCTGACTTCCCCCAATCCTTGCCCCCAGCCCCTGCTCTGATTCTCTTCTCTGCCTCCTCCCTAAATCTCATATTCCTATCATCCTCCCGCCCTTGGTCTCTATTTCCACAAACAGGCCCGCATGCTCATAAAAATACCCCCATTGAGGTCCCCAGCCCTAACTCGACTGTGTAGCATATTGCCAGTATCCCCTCCCCCGCAGTGCAGCCCCATCCCCCTTCCATCATAGCCTCTCAAAGCCAGGCTCCCTCCTCCACTTTCTGCAGCCCCCCCCCATGGAGGCCTTTCTCCTATTCTTCCCCATTCCCAGTGCAGCACTGTCCCCCAGTACTATTCCAAACCCGTATAGCCCCCAATACTGCAGTTCCTCAATACCATCCATTCCTGTACAATGCCCCTTGCCCAATATTGCCCCAGCTCCATATGTACCCCTAGATGCCATTCTCATCCCTGGCATAGCCACCTCCCCTTGTTTTCTCCCAATTGCTAGTTGGACCAGAATGGAGATCAGACAGTGGGTCCTAGGGTGCAGAGGGCGTTTGGGGGTCGGTGTTTGGTTTGTCTAGGTGTTGGTGGGGGAACGGCTGCAGAGAATTGACTCAAAAAGGAACAGCATTTGGCATTTGGCACCAAAGCGTTACTAGAGAGACATCCCAAAAGGGTTAATTGAATGCATGGGGAGGGGGCAGTGCCTAGGGGGTTAATGGGGGGGGTTGCTGGAGGGGAAGCCGTGTGAATGAGCGGTCTGTGCCCCTGAGTTGCTATGGAGATGGTGAATGGGGGGATTGTGTGAACTCAGCTGCGGACTATCCTCCCCACCCCATACACGCACACACACCCACTCCCTCTTGCCCCACCTCCCTACTCCTACCCCTTCCCCCCAGCCGGGTGCATTCTGGGCAGTGTGTGAGATCTTCCTCCCATACTTTGCTCCCCATTTCCTCTGAACCTCCACCCCTTTAGTCACTTCACCCACCTCCTTCCAGCCTCCCTTCCCTCCCTCTCTCCCTTCATACACACACACACACACACACACATTCACACACACATTCTCATGGCCCTCTGGTGTTGGCCAATTGCTGGGCATTCCCAATCTCCCTCCCCCACCCCTTCAGCCAGTTCTTAAAGGAGCAAGCCGGCAATCTTGGAAGGCGGGAGAAATGGGGGAAAACTAAATGTGCATTCGTGTGTGTGTGTGTGTGTGTGTGTGTGTGTGTACACACGCGCGCGTGCGCCTGTGTCCATGCTAGACCTGTGTGTACTTGTGTATATGTGTTGACTGTGCAACTCTGTGTCTGAGTGTGTTGTTATTTGTGTCTCTGTTTCCACTAATGTCTTACCATTATTCTGCTTGTGTCTCTGGATATTTACCTATGTGCGTGAGTCTGATTATATTTCAGTAAGTCCCTATGTGTCTCTCTGAATGTATCTCTGGGAGTCTCTGGCTCTGTGAGGCTCTCCAAATTTGGGACCATATGAGGAGATCTCTGTGGGTTTGGAATATATGTCTCAGTGAATGACTATCACGGTGTCTGTGATCCTGGATTGGTCTCTCACTTGCTCTTTGAGTCTTTGTGAGTTTATTTCTATGAGTCTCTGAGTATGTGTCCCCCACACTCTGCTGTTTATTTTACACTGGTTGAGCATCAGCAGTGCCTAGGGTGTTGAACAGAATGTTTTCTGCTGCCATCAGTCCTGGCTCTCTGTATATGTAGAGATAGCCAACAGAAAAGACTAAGGCTTCAGGATTTGGGAGCAATAAGTATTGAGGGGAATGTATGGAAAGGGCATGAGAGGGTCTGGGACTCTGCAAATGGCTGTCCTGCCCTTTAGGAGAGTGAAGGTCCTCTCTATGGGACCGTTTGCCTGTCTGCTGCTTTCCCTTCTTACGCCTCAGTGTCCCAGAATGAGTTTAACAATCCTACCCTCTCCTGATGTGGAGATCCCTAAGTAGAGTTCCCGGGTCCTAGGGGCTAGACAGCTCAGTGTTCACACAGCATGCCTAGTGCCTGAGCTTCATTTCCAGTTCTCCCCACTCCCTGCCACCAGATACAACTCTGGCTCCAGTAGACCCTAGTGAACTCCATTGGCTATGGAGTTGAAGTTGAGGACTATGAATGTATAGTGGCAAAACTTGGTCACTCTGTCAATCCCCTTAGATTTTTTCAACCCTGGCCAGGAATGTAAAATGGTTCTGACTGGCAGTGGAGATCAGCTCTGAGTCTCTGGAACCTTGGGTATGTGAAACCTCTCTTGACTGTAAGGGAATAGCCGAAGTCCAGCAGAGCCTCAAAGATTTATTCTTTAGCCCTCCCAGACCCTCTTGGATGACTCATACTTCCCTCTTTCCACAGGCCTGTCTGGCCCTGAGGGAGTCCCCTTTCTGAAGCTGTGGTGCTTGGACGACCTGCTCTCTACGTTGCTGGGCACCTGTAGGTGTCCCTTGAGAGCTCAGTTTTGAGGTTCAAGTCAGTGTAGCCATGAAAGGGCTGCCTGTTGGGCTGGTGCTGTGACCCTGGAGTCTGCCTCTCCTGCCAGCCCCTCTGCCCAGAACATGTGGCTGCAGCTTGGCTTGCCCTTGGTGTCCCTAATCCCCAAGCCCACAGTTGGCCGGAGCCTGTGCCTCACCCTGTGGTTCCTCAGCTTGGTGTTGAGGGCCAGTACTCAGGCCCCAGAACCCACAGTTAATACTCACTTTGGGAAGCTAAGGGGTGCCCGCGTACCATTGCCCAGTGAGATCTTGGGGCCTGTGGACCAATACCTGGGAGTGCCCTATGCAGCTCCCCCAATTGGTGAGAAACGTTTTCTGCCCCCTGAACCACCTCCATCCTGGTCGGGCATCCGGAACGCCACACACTTTCCCCCAGTGTGCCCCCAGAACATCCACACAGCTGTGCCCGAAGTCATGCTGCCCGTCTGGTTCACTGCCAACTTGGATATCGTCGCTACTTACATCCAGGAGCCCAATGAAGACTGCCTCTACCTGAATGTCTATGTGCCCACAGAGGATGGTGAGTGCTATAGCCAGGCACTGTGAACTCCCTGCCTCCCGCTTGCCCTTTGTGTTTGTGGCTTGCATGTGGTGTGCCCTGCAGCATGCACCTGTCTGTGAAAATGCTTCTAACCATTACTCTGCTTGGCCTCCCCCTTTCCTTTCCTTGTTCTTCCCTCTCCCAGCATTGTTCGAGCTCCCATGTGTGAGTGATACTGTTATTAGGAAGGGCCTGGCCAGGCCTGAGAGTTTTGACAGGTCTAGGTCCAGAGTTATGAATGGGGGTGTTTCCTGGGGGAGTTTGGGTCATTGCTGGCAGGTGCCTGTGGGAGGATGCTGGCTCCACTGGGCCCTCTTATTGACATTCCACCTGCTTTGAAAGGTGTTAGGTATGTGTGGCCAAGGGAACTGGGTTTGTGAGGAGGGAGGCGGGGGGGGGGCAAGCTTGGTGGGCAATGCTTAGGTGCCTCCCCTTTCACTAGCTGATACCTCCTCCCAAGGAGGTTACACTAAGGTAAGTGATAGTAACAAGGAGATGGTGGGACAGGCTCTCTGCCATGTGCCCACCTGCAGAGAAGCCCTTGGGGCCTGGGAGTGGGGAGATGCATGTCCCTGGGCAGAGGCCTCCTGTTATTTTTTAGTTTTTCATTCATTTTACAGTAAAGCGGATTTCCAAGGAATGCACCCGAAAGCCCAACAAGAAAATATGTAGGAAAGGAGGTAGGTAGCGAGCCGGCGGGGAGGGAGAGAGAGAGAGAGGGAGGACTGCTTACCCACCTGCCCTTGCCCCTGAGGACCCAGCCTTCCTTCAAGTAGCCCAGGCTCGGGGGGGCGGTGAGCAGGCATAAGCTCCACCTCATCCAAGGCCTCTGGATGCTTTTCAGGGAGGATTCGGTGGGCTAGGGCAGAAGCAGCAACCCAATTTCTTCCAATCTTCCCAGCTCCAAATTTCACCCTAACACATTTGCCAAAGACAGAGCCAGTGGCTCTCTCAGCAGCACCTCAGGAGAAACACCAGACAGCCAAGATGGAGCCAGAGGCTCCACCAGTCTTGGGTGGGTTGAGCCATAAGATCACCCCTCCCATATTCTTTTCCTGGGGTTGAAAGTCTAGACTCAACTCTCCCACCCTGAAGCTTAGACCAAATGTGTATACATAGGCTTAATAACTCTTGCCACCACTCCCACCGTCTCTTTGGCCAGAGCATAGCTGAGAGACCCAGACTACTGTGGTGGCAGAACATGGGCATCTCTGGAAGCTGCAGATTCTCAAGGAGGCAAGAGATCCTAAATTTTAATTTTACCCTCTTGCTGAGAAGAATTTGTCCCCCTGGATAATGTTGCTTCATGCTCGAATACTTTGTTTTCTGCAAAGTGCTTTCATACTTATTTCATAAAATCCTCCCCACATCTCTGGAAGTGTATGAGGCAGGAATCAGTGTCCCAGTTTTACAGATGAGGAAATGGGCTTAGGGTAGTGACTTGCTATTGCTCAAGGTCACGTCACTGTTCTGTGGCAGATTTGGGACCTTAACTTGGGTCTCTTGACCTGCAGGGCAGTATTCTTTCCACTGTAGCACAAGGAGGCAACTTCCATCTGATTGTTCCCACCTCTCTAACTCTGAGAAAATGGTGAAATATAGATAGGTTGGCAGAATTGGAAAGAGTAACAGCCTGAGGAACATGTGGAAAATCATAGCCTGATTTCCTACAGCCCTTTAGCAGACATGAAGTTTGTTTTCCTTTCATATCCTAGGGCAGGGTTTCTCAGAGGGGACCCCTGTGACAAGATGTTCCCCAGACTTACTGACTAAGACTCTCTGGGGCACAGCCTAGGAGTCTGCATGTTGATTTGAATGAGACCTGCTGCCCTAGAGATAAGTTTTCGCCACAACCCCACACCAAGTCCGGGACCTCACATGCAGTACGCAATCAGTAGATGGTTTTTGCACAAATGAAGAAGCATTGTGGTACTGCAGAAAGAGTAGAAGTCTGGGAAGCACAAAGCCTGACTGAGTCCCAGCTCTGCTGTTAACTTGCAGTAAGACCTTAGGCAGGTCTTTTCCTTTGGAACCTCTGCTGACACATCTGAAAGTGGTAGGGAACTATTCTGGCCTTAGCATTCATTAGATTATAAATGAATTCAGGAAGACGGTCTTTAAAACCTGCTCCTTTGCTTTACTTGGGGGTGGGGTAGGGGAAAAGTGACATTAGCATTAACCATTTGTTAAGAAGAATGATCTCCCCAGAATTTCAGTAAGAGCCTAGGGCAGTACCTGACAATTTGACTAGAGAGTCTCTCCGCTGACTAGAAATCCCCATTCAAATACAGACATTTACCAATCGTGATTGTTGACTAAGGGCAAGGCCATGTGCTGTGTGCGTTTGGGATGTGGAAGGATGGGTGGTAGAGGAAAGATTGAGAAATGACAACTCTGAAGAAGCTCCTGTTGTTGTTAGGTGCCATGGAGTCAATTTTGACTTTTGGTTACCCCATGTGACAGAATAGGACTGCCCCATAGGGTTTTCTAGGCTATAATCTTTATGGGATCAGATCACCAGATCTTTCTCAGGCAGAGCCACTGGGTGGGTTCAAACTGTTAGCAGCTGAGCAAGTTGCACCATCAGGGCTCCTAGCCTAGCATTAAAACTCAGCTTCGTTTTCTAAGCCCCACAGGCCAAACTGAAGAGTGGGTTCCAGATAGTGCAGTGGAGAGCATTTGGCCATCTTGCCAGTTCAATTTAGTTCCTATCCAGGGCTTGTTGGCCGTTTGGAGCAGAGATACAAATTGTTCCTATGGGGGAAGATCCCATATTCAGAGGCTGTCTCAAGCTTAGAGATTAGGGTTGTGGTGTGCGTAAGTCAGGCAGGGTTGGCCTGGTTGGGATCCTGCAGCAACTCAGTGTCTGGTTGAATTGGCTTGGGTGGAAGGCATGGCAGCAGAGAGTTGTTCAGCAAGTACTAAGCTGAAGAGGCACAGGCATCCTTTGGTTGGGGTAATGCAGCAACCAAAGGACACTCCCAGAAGGGGGCGAAAGGGACACATTAAAAAAAAAAAGTCAAGGCTGATGGAAAGTGAAGGATTTCTTGGGGAAATGTGGAAGGATGGGTGGTAGAGGAAAGATTGAGAAATTCCACCCACACACCGCCTCCCATCAAGCTGGAGTGAATTCATGCTTGGGGATGGGGTGATTTCTTTCAGTTCAGGGGCTGTCCACTGTGTGAGTGATGAGGCCCCATGTCCCACAGGGCTTCTGAGGACAGTACTGGCAGATGTTGAGCAGACAGTAGGCACCACTGGAAGGTCAGTGCCCAGGTTGGGCTCTGGCCCTGGTTGAAAAATCATCATGTAATATGAGGGGGAATCCCTGTTTTGATTAATAGCTGTAAGGAAATTCAGCCAATAGAGTTCAGACCAGCTGAAAATGGGCTATTTGCTGCCTCAAGGTTGAGGATAACTAGTATTAGACTCTAGAGGGTAAGCCTTGAGGTGCTAGCAGAATGACCTGTTTCTATATACTTACCAGCATCCAGGCAGCAGGTCCTCTTTCTCCACAGCCATTCTCAGCCCCACAATGCATTTGTAGTCTCCTTAGAACAGGAAGGAGAATTGGTGCTAGCTTGCCCCTAGATCCTAAATGTCTTCTTTCCTCTAGTCTCTTACTTCTTCTCTTGCTCTTCACTCCCCTCCATGCTCCACCTCTTTTCTCATCTCTTTCCCTTTCCTTTTCTACCTGCCACCAGATGGCATGGTGCAGTAAAGACCATGGGCTTTGGAGTCAAGTAGACCTGGGTTTGAATCCCACCTCTGGCACTTCCTACTTTTGTGATCTTGAGCAAGTCATTTTACTTCTCTGAACCTCAGTTTTCCCATCATTGGAACAGGAATAAGGATAGTACCTATCTCATTGGTCTGTAAGAATCAAATAGTATGGTCTAAATAGAGCATCTGGCACATGGCAGATGTTCAGAACATGGTAGGAGCAATTACCATTATCCCTCTCTTTGTTTCTTTCTCTCGTTGTCCCCTTCTCCTTTTCCCTTTTCTTCTTTTCCTCCATCCCTCTCTGGCTCTCTCTACATCATAGAGCAATGCTTGCTGCCCTCAGGGCTGGTTCCTATGGGCAGGAACCTCATTTGCCAACAACCAGAGCAGAGGGCCCCAATGAGGAGGACCAGAGAGGGAAACCTGCATCTCCCATCTTCTCCTGTGGGAATCAGGGTCAGCTGAGGCCCAGCTGAAGCCTGCTCACTGGGCCTTGGTAGTGAGCTCAGAGTTGGGGTCCCTGCACACATGCTGGTAATGCCACTTCTCACCCTTAGTACCACCCCAGCTCAACCTGCCTGTGTACACACACACAGACCAGACCCTTCCACCCAGAATAAATCCTTTCCTTGAGTGGGTCTATGGCACTATGGCCTGGCTTACCTCCTGCTACCTCCTCCCTAACTGGGAAGGCTTGAGGAGTGCCAAGATAGTTGGTTGAGATAGACTGTTGGGGGCAGAGAGGTGGGACAGGGAGGTGCAGGGAGGCCAGCACAGCAGGGGCCTGCAACACCATCATCCTGATAAAGGTCTGGGCCTCAGCCCACCCATTCCCTCAGTTCTTGCCATCCCTCCTGCCTGTCCTGGGCCCAGGCCCAGAGCTGGCTTGCTGGGCCACACTGCAGTCATGCTGTTTTTGAATTCTCTCTCTGTTTTGTTCTCTGTTCTGTGCTGTTGTGTCTCCCCGTGTCTGGTCCCCAGGATCCGGCGCTAAGAAACAGGGCGAGGACTTAGCGGATAATGACGGGGATGAAGATGAAGGTATTTGGGGGCTGCAGGGCGTGGTGGCTGGTGCATGGCACAGAGCCCCTCCCCCCTTGATGGGAAGAAGCCCCGTCTGTCTGTCTGTCCGTCCGTTGGTGTGTTTCTATTCCTGAACAAGGCCGTTGATCTGTTCATCCATCTTTGGCCTGGTTGGCCACTGGGAGTTCCAGGGTGATAGACACTGCTGACTGGAGCAGAGGACCACAAGCAACGCCATGAGGAGGGCAACCTCCTTATCCCAGTTCCCCACCCCTGTCCTCAATTCTACCAGTCCAGAAGTGGGCACTGCTGGAGACAGCTTCCTCCCCTATCTTTTATAGTTCATGGGCACCTGCCCCTACTGATCAGCAGGAAGAGAAGGAAGAAGGCTGAGCCAGGGGAAGGGCAGGGAGAGGCACAAAGGAAACTAGATGGTAAGGCGATGCTTGTATTTCATCAAGGAGACACCCGTGTTTCATAGCCTGGCTCCTGGAAGAGTTGTCCAGCAGGGGCCCAGCAGTGTTGAACTAAGTGAGAAAGTGACAAGCCAGAGAGGGCTGGAGAACAGTACTACCTAAAACGTCCCCAGCCTTCTTCCAGAAAGAGAGAGATGGTCTCAGGGCCAGGGGCTGATAGGTTCAGGACAGAGCCAGAAATACGGTGGGCTAAATGCCAAGATGAGACAAGAGCCCCACAGCCCAGTCAATAGATGGTATAAGATTCCTGGTGGTCACTGGGTCAGCCTTCCTCCTTGGGAAAACAGGTTCTGTGTATTCCTCAGCAGAGAGCATTTCTTTCTATCTCCAAACTCTGCCCTGTCCTTCTGCCGCTGGAGGAGCCAGATAGCTCAGGTGGGCCCACTGGTTACTGGTAGGGTTGTGCTGATGTGGCAAAGAATGCTGGTCCAGCTCACAAAGTGAAAGGCTACAGGCAGCGGTGATCAGGCCTGAAGGCTTCTCTTGACTTCCCTGCCCCAACGCCGTGCTACTTATGCTTAGGAGCTTGATGGTCCCTTGTTGAATGGCCTCTGGGGAAGCTCCATCTTCATCTTAATGCTAACTGGGGACAGACTTGTTCATTCCTAGTTCTGCCCCTTTCCTCGTTCCCATCCTCAGTGTTTCTGGTTAAGTCTGTCTGATGCCTAGGGAGAATGGAGTAAATGGACACATGGCTGAGAAACCATATCAATAAGATTCCCATTAGCACATCTCTGCCATTCACTCCCATTTCCCACATCCTTCCTTGTTCTCTCCTTGTGCCACCCCTTTATTCCCATCCCCTCTTGTCTCTGTCTGCAATGGGGGTCCAGATGCTGCCAAATGGCTGTATTTCCATTTAACTGGTCTAGTCTTGGGGCTTTCAGGGCTCTCCAGCCCCTGCTCTCTAAAGCCATGTCAGGTCCCAGGACTCCTGGGTGCCCAGGGCAGGGACTCACTTGATCCAGCTAAGGGACCAGTCCTTCCTCTTCCTGATGTCCCCCATATGCAGGGCCCAGCCATTGCCTACCTAAGCCTAGCTATATCAGGCATGCCTGGCTGCCTTCAGCAGGGAGGCACTTGAAACCAAAGTCTTTAAAAACATCACTGAAGTCCAACTGTCTCTGACTGATGCTTGAGCTCCAGGCTGAGCTGCCTCATGAGTCCTGTCTTCAGGGATGGCAGTGATGTCCTGGCACCTGGGATAGCTTTTCTTCCCGCACCCCCCCACAAGGATGGTGGGGGTGCAAGGGCATCCTACCCAGCCTATGTCTCACCCCTTCTCCTTACAGACATCCGGGACAGTGGCGCTAAGCCCGTCATGGTCTACATCCACGGAGGCTCTTACATGGAAGGGACAGGCAACATGATTGATGGCAGTGTCCTCGCCAGTTATGGCAACGTCATCGTCATCACCCTCAACTATCGAGTTGGGGTGCTAGGTATGGTTCTCTGCCAGGTGCTCTTGAAAGGGAAGGAAAGGATGCTAGGAAATTCAGAACATTTGGCCTTGGTTCTCTAGCTGGTGCTACTTTGACAATGTATAGTCAAAGTGTTGTTATCTAAAGACCCCTACCCAAGTGCTGGGAACTTCCCTATATCCTTAGGCCCTTTCTTGGAATGTTTAGACACCATTGGGAATTCAGTTCAAACTCTGCTCCCAGATTTTTGCTTGGCTGATTTTTATAGAGTCCATTAGTTTTCTAGTGTCCTGACCACATCCTTACATGTCCACCCCCAAATCCCTACGTATACCCCACACACACAAATATTCCTTCTAACCCACTGCTGTCGAGTCGATTCTGCTAAGAGTGACCTTGTAGGACAGAGTAGAATGGTCCCATAAGGTTTCTAAGGCTGTAAATCTTTTTTTTTTTTTTAAAAAAAAAAAACAAACTCACTGCCATTGGATTGATTCTGACTCACAGCGACCCCCATTGGGTTTCTGATGTGGTCAGTCTTTACAGAAATAGTTTGCCCTATCTTCCTTCCGTGGAGCAGCTGGTGAATTTGAACCATTCAGCCTTCTGGTTAGCAGTCAAATGCCTTAGGCACTGTGTCACCAGAGCTCCTTCAAGGCTGTAAATCTTTATAGAAGCAGACTGGCACATCTTTCTCCCATGGAGCAGCTGGTGCATACAAACTGCCAACCAAAAGGCACTTAACCACTGTGCTACCCAGGGCACCTTAATACTCCTTTTTAACCAACCACATATCCATAGACTGATATACCCTCATATATCTACACATCTCTACCCCCACATATACAACTATTTCTCTTACTCCCACAAGTACACATACATACCCACACACATTTATACTCCATATTATATACTCCACATCTACATCTACAGACCCCCCCCACAAGTGGACATTCTCCCACCACTCCATATACACTACACACATGCACATCCACACACCCACATAGCCCTATAAACTCCACATCTGTATCCCACGTATACACAGATTTCTCTCACCCTCCATGTATACAATACATTGCCATACTCTTCCCTCTACATCTCTGTATCTACGTCTACACTCATACACATGACACATGCCAAACTCATACTTTGCTCTACCCCCATGTATACTCTACCCCCATATATATATTCCCTACACAGACTCACACCCTGCACATCCACATCTACAAACACCACATATATATATAACCTTCACATGCACACCTTAAATGTACATAAAAATTCCTTCTACCTACCTGCACACATATATACCTATACCCATAATCCCCTAAACATCCCTACTTCTGCATTCACTTCACATATTCACATACTACACACATACACACACATTTCCTTCACCTTCCCCACATGTACACAAACCAGTATTCCCCTCCCCATAGATTTATGCCCATACATGTATCTCCACATCTCCCAGCTGCATACATAGACAAATACTTCTTTCACACATAAACATGTACATCCCATTACCCACATCTATGCTTCCATATCTATACACACATCCCATAAACTATACTATATGTCCTTTCCCCATATATACACATACCATATACCCCCTGCACATATACCTACACTCATACATACACACATGCACATACACACTTTTCCCATATATACACCCCACACATATACCCTATATATACACATATACACATTTTCCCACTCTACCGCACAACTGTATGTTGTTGTTGTTATTAGGTGCTGATAAGTCAATTCCAACTCATAAGAACCCTGTGTACAATAGAAAGAAACACTGCCTGGTCCTGAGCCATCCTCACAGTCCTTGCCCTGTTATACATATCCATATATTAATACCTGCTATCTATATCCATACATTCACACACCTCTGCCCACCCCCAACTTCACTCTTGTACATCCCATACTTACATACCCCATATATACACATATATACATTCTTTCTGCCTTCTCTACACATACAGCCCCATACACTCCCACTTTGTTACACATACACATTCCTATACATACGCACCCAACTTCGTATACACCAATATACCCTTACCCATGTATACTCTGTCGTGCACATGCTATTAGTGATTTAGGTTGCCCCCTCTACCCTGTACCTTCCTTGGTATTGAGGTTTTGAGGTAAACAAATACCTCAGAGAGGGTGACCAAGCATACAGCCTTGTTCCCTTTTAGATGTTCACCCAACCTTGAAAATACATGTAGCCCCATATCCCTGTAAGGGCATAAAGAAGCCAACTTCTTGCCTGGATGGTTTGTGACCTCAGAGTTCCAATGGGAATCTAGGATGTTTGTAGGCCTGGATACTGAACTAGCAGTGAAGTATGGCTTACTGCATGGCCCATTGGCTGACAGGTCCTTGTTTTACTTTGCTGTTGAGTATATTGCTTTACCATTTCCCATCCTAGAGGTCTTGGTGTTGCATTTCACTTCTGAGTGCAATTGTGTGTACATAATGGCAATTTCCTCTTAACTGCAATATAAACCTTTCATACAGTGTGGAATGGGAAGATACCTTTTATTGGTTTAGACTGGAGAAATTATATTCCCTGAGAAAAGTGGAGCCTGTGTCTCCTTTGGTGGCACCTGGGATACCAAGTATGGAGCGTGCAGGCAACTACCTCGTCTCTCAACAGCCTGGTGGGCTTTGAATTTCATGGTTCTATCACTGCTCTTCTATCTTTTTGAGTTGCCTCAGACATCATAGCAATGCTCTCATAATCTGTTCTGTCCTGTTGAGAAAGGAGATCTGAGTCTCTGACAGTAGAGTATGTACGTACCATGAAGGTGTCTGTAACCCATACACTTACACTGTGCAATTGCTTCAAGAGTAATTAATACACAAACATAATCACATACAGATATACAGACATATGTATGCAGTGGTAATTTGGCTACTTTATTTTCTTAGTGAAAGTGATAGAAAATGTTCAATTCAGATGCTTTTTAAAATTATAAACACAAAGCTTAATAAAGTTTATTGAAAAATACAGAAAATACTAACAATATGCTTCAGTTCCCTATAGTAGGAGGAACAGCTAGGGATGAAGGAGGAGAGAGAGAGGAAGAGAGAGGAGAAAGTAAGGAAGAGAAGAAAAGGAGGAAGGAAGAAAAAGAGAGCAAGAGCAACACAGGGAAAGGAGGCAGAGAAGAGATAGGAGAGAGACTCATAGGATTAGAAGTGTCCCTTGGGAGCTACGGGTTGCACAGAAAGCTATTGCTGGTGAGTACTCCCTATGATATCTTGATTCATTGATTTCATAACCCTTCAACTTTTCTAATCCTTCTATATCAGAGGTTCTTGACCTTTTTTGGGGGCCATGAACCCCTTTGAGATTCTAATTAAATTTATAGACTCCCCCCCCAGAGAAATGCACACACACATAAAAACTTATAGAAACAATTTCATGGGCCCCCTTGAAGCTCATCCATAGAACTCCGTTTAAGACCCATTACTTTACAACCTCCTCTCATTTGGATACCCAGAGCAGCACATCCAGGGATAGGAACATTATTCTCTGGGCTTATGTGGTTAATATTCAAAATAATACTACCCAAACCTCAGAAGTTGTAAACTGAGATTTGGTCAGAAGTTCCTCATCCCTTCTTCTGTAGCCTTCAGTTCCTGTTCTGGAATAGAAATACAGTAAATAAGCCACTGTTTGGATTCTGGGTTCATACAAGATGTTTCTGTCTCTTGGCACCAGATGTAGAACATGGGTTTGTCTTTGACACTTGGGGATTTTGCTTTGTAACTAGAGGCTTTGTTTTCTATGTACCAAAGCAATGAAGAGCAGGTGGCCAGTTTTGGACCCTAATTACATGCATTAATTTATCCTCCCTCCTATCAGCTTCTCTAGAGCACTGAGTCCAAATAGACAGTTTATTCTCAGGTGCTTCTGCAGATATCTGGGGTGATTCACATATGTTGAGAATATCACAGGCTAGTCCAAGGTGAAGGGGTAGCTATTATTTGAGATATCTCCACTAAACTTGAGGCCAATAAAAGAAAGTGACCCTAGAAGGATATAGGATGTGGCTATCCCTGGCAATGAGGAGCAGAGACTTGCCAAGTTTTATTCTGAGTCCTAGAATTTAATCCTACATCCCTGCTCAGGTGCCCTTCATACAAACTGAAATCCTGGTAAAGGTTAGGTCTCAAGTTACACAAACATCTGATTTTGATACCATCTGCCAGATCTCCTATCTTCTGTTGATAAGCAGTTTACCATGTACTGTAGTATAAACTTGGGCCCAAGGAGACTGGCTCAGATTTGCACTGATAGTTTTTGGAGATCTGTATTTCACCCATTCTCACGTGGTTTCTGTGGATGGCTGAGCTATTGGGGGACTAGCAGAAAGTCACTAGCAGAAAGTGACTGCTCTCCTAGACTACCAGATTTTGTGTGCTTGTAGTTGGTCACATTTGCTGTGTCTGTCTGAGCCTGTTGAATGTAGTACTTCCAACAGGACTCTTTGTATCAGGAATGGTTTACATGGTATCATCCACATGGTATCATCCACTGAAGCCCACAAGGGCTTCAGTGCCCTTTATCTCAAGGTTGGTGAGATTCTAGGCAGCAGCGATAGTCAAATCCTCCACCCAGGCCTTTCAGGCTTTTGTTCCTCACCCCATAAATTGGTATGTTGTTGTTGTTATGTGCTGTCGAGTTGGACCCGACTCATAGCGACCCCTCCTTGGGTTTCCGAGGTGGTATCACTATGGAAGTAGATTGCCCAACCTTCCTTCTGAGGAGGGGCTGTTGGGTTTGAACTGCCAGCCTTCTGGTTAGCAGTCAGGTGCCTTAGGCACTATGCTACCAGAGCTCCTGATAAATGGGTATAAATTGAAGAAATATACCTTACTACATCCAAATGTAGGCTCTCCCTGATTAGGACAGGTGTATTTGACACATGTGTATGAGTGTAGTGTTGATGTCTTGGCAGAGGTCAAGGCCAAGCCTGCTATTGCTTAAGTGAGAGAAAAGGAAGAGAATATGGGTCAAGGAAAGAGTAGGGAGGGGAGGGCATGTGAGTTAAGAGAAAGAAAAGCACATAGTGATTTTTGCTTAAGGGTCCCAAGGCTTGGACAGTTAGGTTAGATCTTGGGCAGCATAGTTTTGTGGGGTTTTTTTTTTTGTTTGTTTGTTTTGTTTTTTTAATTTTTATTGTGATTTGGGTGAAAGTTTACAGAGCAAATTCATTTTCCATACAGCAGTTCATATACACTTTGT